TGTGAGGGATCAGTGTGTGTGAGATCAGTATGTGTGAGATCAGTGTGTGAGATCAGTGTGTGAGATCAGTGTGTGTGATGAGTGTGTGAGAGATCAATCAGTGTGTGAGAGATCAGTGTGTGAGATCAGTGTGTGAGATCAGTGTGAGAGATCAGTGTGTGAGATCAGTGTGTGAGAGATCAGTGTGTGTGATGAGTGTGAGAGATCAGTGTGTGAGATCAGTGTGAGAGATCAGTGTGTGAGATCAGTGTGTGAGAGATCAGTGTGTGTGATGAGTGTGAGAGATCAGTGTGAGAGATCAGTGTGTGTGATCAGTTTGTGTGTGAGGGATCAGTGTGTGTGAGATCAGTGTGTGTGAGATCAGTGTGTGTGAGAGATCAGTGTGTGTGATGAGTGAGAGAGATCAGTGTGAGAGATCAGTGTGAGAGATCAGTGTGAGAGATCAGTGTGAGAGATCAGTGTGAGAGATCAGTGTGTGAGAGATCAGTGTGTGTGATGAGTGTGAGAGATCAGTGTGAGAGATCAGTGTGAGAGATCAGTGTGTGTGATCAGTTTGTGTGTGAGGGATCAGTGTGTGTGAGATCAGTATGTGTGAGATCAGTGTGTGTGAGAGATCAGTGTGTGTGTGAGAGATCAGTGTGTGAGAGATCAGTGTGAGAGATCAGTGTGTGTGAGATCAGTGTGTGTGATGAGTGTGAGAGATCAGTGTGTGAGATCAGTGTGAGAGATCAGTGTGTGAGATCAGTGTGTGAGAGATCAGTGTGTGTGATGAGTGTGAGAGATCAGTGTGAGAGATCAGTGTGTGTGATCAGTTTGTGTGTGAGGGATCAGTGTGTGTGAGATCAGTGTGTGTGAGATCAGTGTGTGTGAGAGATCAGTGTGTGTGATGAGTGAGAGAGATCAGTGTGAGAGATCAGTGTGAGAGATCAGTGTGAGAGATCAGTGTGAGAGATCAGTGTGTGAGAGATCAGTGTGTGTGATGAGTGTGTGTGAGAGATCAGTGTGAGAGATCAGTGTGTGTGATCAGTTTGTGTGTGAGGGATCAGTGTGTGTGAGATCAGTATGTGTGAGATCAGTGTGTGTGAGAGATCAGTGTGTGTGTGAGAGATCAGTGTGTGAGAGATCAGTGTGAGAGATCAGTGTGTGTGAGATCAGTGTGTGTGATGAGTGTGAGAGATCAGTGTGTGATCACATTGTGTCTGATGAGTGTGAGAGATCAGTGTGTCTGATGAGTGTGAGAGATCAGTGTGAGAGATCAGTGTGTGTGATCAGTTTGTGTGTGAGGGATCAGTGTGTGTGAGATCAGTATGTGTGAGATCAGTGTGTGTGAGAGATCAGTGTGTGTGATGAGTGTGTGAGATCAGTGTGTGTGATGAGTGTGAGAGATCAGTGTGTGTGATGAGTGTGAGAGATCAGTGTGAGAGATCAGTGTGTGTGATGAGTGTGAGAGATCAGTGTGTGTGATCACATTGTGTCTGATGAGTGTGAGAGATCAGTGTGTGTGAGAGATCAGTGTGTGTGATCAGTGTGTGAGATCAGTGTGTGTGATGAGTGTGAGAGATCAGTGTGTGTGATCAGTGTGTGAGATCAGTGTGTGTGAGAGATCAGTGTGAGAGATCAGTGTGTGTGATGAGTGTGTGTGATCAGTGTGTGAGATCAGTGTGAGAGATCAGTGTGAGAGATCAGTGTGAGAGATCAGTGTGTGTGATGAGTGTGAGATCAGTGTGAGAGATCAGTGTGTGTGAGAGATCAGTGTGAGAGATCAGTGTGTGTGAGATCAGTGTGTGTGATGAGTGTGAGATCAGTGAGAGCTGCATGATGTTCATAACTCATCTCTGTTAATCATAAATCATATTATGATCAGTTTCTGTTTTGTTAAGAATATGCAAACTCGACAGTGCTGTACTTTAGTCGTTAACTGAGACGTCTAACGTATTTCTAAAGGTCTAACGCCTCTGTGTGGATTGTTAACCTGTTACGCACCGCCCCCCCGGTACCGGGCGGATAAACGCGTCATTTGCAGGAAACAACGTCTAAGGAATCTTAATATTTAATAAACTGAATGTTTTATATCCATGTAACGGGAAGAAACTCAGCTAACTGATCTTTTTAAAAAAAAAAAATCAAAAAAACCCACAATGCTAACACTCAGCCTCTGAATGATCCACGAGCGAAAAAATGTAACCTATCACTGCACCTAAACTCACTCATAACTCCCTTATTACTTATCCTAGATGCACAGCGAACCCATCGATTAGCATCTCCTGGAGACACAGAATCTGGGGGTGCCCACCTCAACACTCAGTGATAAACATTTGCGACGCTATAAACGAAAGCATACATCAGAACATGTGGAGCTAGGTAGCTAGAAACGCTAACATGGCTTACCTTGGTCAAAATTGGTCTTCAATGGCATTAAAACGATAAAAAAACGATGCTGCAGTTAATCCATAGGTTCATCCAATGTGTCTGTGTCATCTTTGAAATGATTTCTGATAATCCATAAGCAATAAAACTGCTTTTTCGTTTCCAAATGTCAGAGCGAGAGATCGGTCCACTCTGCTGCAAAATTACATGCGTGCAGCCCCCACCTTTTCTCTTCACAACGTGTGTGTGGGGGCCTCCCCCTTCGATTCTATTGGCTCTAACGGTCAGAAAGGGTGTCAACCATCAAAATCGAGCAAGGGGGGCCAGAGATATGGAAAAAAAAACATTTTCAGCCAAATCACCTCAGAGGTGGGGTGGTTTTGGCTAAACCTCTCTAAAAAGGTCAAATGTCACTTGTTTTGCATCAATCTTGATACAGGGTACTTAGTATATGTTGTACTTTGGATTCCTAAAGCTTTTAGTCTACTAACCCATCATCCAAGGGTAGTTTTCACTATCTGTAAAAAATAATCTTTGGACGGACACTATAATTTACAGTTTTTTACTATGTAAAATCTGAATTTTCTTTAAAATAAAAAACATCTATATTGATTCTGACACTTCTACATCCAACTCACAGATGTAATCTTGCTTTAATAAAAGAAATTATTCATATAACCCTTTTAGAAGTTAAGTTGTAGTCATTTGTTTTGGGCATGTCATTTTCGAGCCTGAAACATGAAAAACAGGCTTGGTGCTTAACGGGTTAAAGGAAACCCTTGCAGATTATAAACCTGCTTTTTATCATTGCAATCGCTTAACTGGACAATTTTAATGTAATACAACTAGTATATTATAAGTCTATATAATTAAGTCCATATAAATATTGGGGTGCATTTGGTATCAGCTGATTCTCATGATTAAAGGAGCAGGATCCAGGCCAGAAAACAAAACAGGATATCCTAACTTTGAAATATGGTCTCCTGTCAAAGTGTCAACAAGCTAACACAAGTATCCAAAGAGCCCATGGAGGTGGTGATGACCAAAAGAAAGGCCTCACTAGATTTAGATTTAATACGATTGACTTATAAGTCAAAGGTACAATAGATATAAGAGACCATGAAAACATAAATAAACTACATTTAGCTGCTACAAACTACAATGCAGCTTACAGTGCAATGAACCATGAAGACACAAACTCACAAAGCAACAGTCCTGCAGGAAGCTTCATTTAGCTAAAGTGCAATAGTAAGATATTGTATTCTATTATTTATCCAATTCAAAAACATAATGCATCACATGAATACACATCATGTGAACCACATCTTGTTCTTTTGTGTCTGTCTTAACAATGTGAGCCGTGTTCATGCTCAACTCTCTGGCTGCTTTTTGCACATGTTTACACACATGTCTGCACAGCCCTCCACTTTCAAATATAATATACATTGGGGCGAAGCCTGTGAGCTAGTTCAGGCAGTCAACTCGAGCACCAATGATACATTAACACGTGGCGCACCTCGTCCCTCTTACAACCAACCAAACACTTTCTCCTAAACATGCCGCTCTATTTAAGCTGCCAGGTCTTCCTGCCTCTGCCTCGCTATGCTGCCACTGCTGTGTTCACGTGTTACTGCTACGTTCATGTTCCTGCTGCTGTGTTTCATGTTGCTGCTGCGCGCCTGCCCCACCACCACCCCAGCTTCCACCCCAGCTTCCACCCCAGCTTCCACCCCAGCTTCCACCCCAGCTTCCACCCCAGCTTCCACCCCAGCTCCACCCCAGCTTCCACCCCAGCTTCCACCTGTAGGCTCGGGGGTTAGTTATCTAATCATCACTCAATGCTGCTGCGCGCCTGCCCCACCACCACCCCAGCTTCCACCCCAGCTTCCACCCCAGCTTCCACCCCAGCTTCCACCCCAGCTCCACCCCAGCTTCCACCCCAGCTTCCACCCCAGCTTCCACCCCAGCTTCCACCCCAGCTTCCACCCCAGCTTCCACCCCAGCTTCCACCCCAGCTTCCACCCCAGCTTCCACCTGTAGGCTCGGGGGATAGTTATCTAATCCTCACTCAATGTTCTTTGTAAATCTGTGGAGTGATGAGGCCCGAGCCTAGACGCCAAACTCAAACTATATGCTGCTTCTAATAAACATGTTAAGAAACACGTGAGTTGTCTGACTGAATTGTCCTAAGTGTTTTTGTTTTTGTTTTTTAGCTGTTAAGGTTATTTGTATAGTTACATGTAATTCTGGTGTAAATACTTGTATGCTAAATTGTTTCGTTAAAATACTTATTTTGTATTATCCTTATATGTTTATTTTTTTACCTACTTTGCAACTTATTTTTTTAGATTGTTTATGTTCGCACCACCGGACACCAAATCAATTTCCTTGTATGTGAAAACGTACCTGGCAAGAAACTTGATTCTGATTTTGATTTCTATCGGTGGAATCAGGTGTGTTTTCTGTCTGATCTGGACGCTGTGTAGACCCTCAGGTGAACCTCTAAACTTTCTAAAGGGTCTCTACCTGTCTCTCTGTTCTGGTTTCAGGCCTCTCCACAGCATGCTCCCCTCTCTCTCCTCTCCAGATTCTCTAACTGTCTCTCTCTCTCTCTCTCTCTCTTCTTGTTTCAGGTCTCTCCACAGCATGCTCCCCTCTCCCCTCTCCTCTCCAGTTTCTCCAGTGAACAGGAAGTGAGACCCCCCCCCCTCTCTCTCCACCATGTTTGGATGTGTCTGAGGAGGTGGAGTTGTGGCCCCTGGAGGCCCCGGGATGCTGAGGACGGACCCTCACCATGACTCTGCTGGACCTGTGGTTGTCCCGCTCGCTCCCCATGGTCCTGCTGCTGCAGAGCCTGGTCCTCATGGCGCTCTGCTTCCCCTCCGCCTCCATGTGTCCCAAGGGCTGCCTCTGCCAGAGAGACCCCCACCTGCACGGGCTGAACGTGTCCTGCAGCCAGTCGCGCCTCAAAGAGATCCCCCCCAGCCTGCCCTCAGACACCGTGAGACCTTTTAATAATAATATATATAATATATACCTCAAAGAGATCCCCCCCAGCCTGCCCTCAGACACCGTGAGACCTTTTAATAATAATATATATAATATATACCTCAAAGAGATCCCCCCCGGCCTGGCAGAGTTTGATAATGTTCTCATGTCCTTGTTGACTTTACTCCTCTTCTCATCCTCTCTTCCTCCTCAGGTTCTGCTCAGACTGGACCACAATCAAATCGGAGCCGTTCCGGATCAAGCTTTCCACGGCCTGCGTCTCCTGAGGGAATTAAACTTATCCTACAACGCCGTGGAGACTTTAGGCGAAGGAGCGTTCAGCGGCATCGAGGGAACGCTTCAGGTTCTCGATCTGTCTCACAACCGCATCACTAGCGTGCACAAAGACGCCTTCGCCCGTCTGAAGGCTCGCGTCATCGTGGACGATAACCCGTGGCATTGTGACTGCGCTCTGCAACAAGCTATCGGAGGAATGGCTCATAACCACGAGGCGGCAGCACGAGTTCTCTGCAGGAGCTCAGAGATCAGAGACCAGGAGGGACAGCCTTTCTTAGCGGTGGACACGGACCTGTGTAACCTCGCCAAAAGGACCACAGACTACGCCATGTTGGTGACCATGTTCGGGTGGTTCGCCATGGTCATTTCCTACGTGGTTTACTACGTGCGACAGAACCAAGAGGACGCTCGACGACACCTGGAATATCTCAAGTCGCTGCCCAGTAAACCCAAGAAACCGGACGAGGTGGACGACATCAGCACGGTCGTCTGAGAGGTTTAACTAAATAAACCTGCTGTAAGAGGACCCACGTGCACGGAGAAAAAAACTTTGACTTTTATTAAGTGTATTGTGTCAACAAATGTCACATAACAATAGGCGTCATTTATACTGGGGACAGTGGGTCTCCACAACTTCTGGAAATTGCCAGTTTCAAACTAAACTAAACCTGCTGTAAGAGGATCCACGTGCACGGAGAAAACACTGCAACTTTGACTTTTTCATTAAGTGTATTGGCGGACGACATCAGCGCGTCGTCTGAGAGATTTAAACTAAAATAAACCTGCTGTAAGAGGACCCTCGTGCACGGAGAAAAAACCTGAACCGTTGACTTTTATTAAGTGTATTATGTCAACACATTTCACATAACCATAGGTGTCTTTTATACTGGGGACAGTTGGTCTCCACCACTTCTGGAAATGGCCCATTTTGTCCCCACCACTTTGCATTAGGATTATTTAAGATAAGATAAGATAGGACTTTATTTATCCCGAAGGAAATTGTTGTGCCAGAGTTACAAAGATACAATAAACACAGCAGCATAATAGTAAAACTGTACACTAACAGGGCAGTAAGAAGAGCAATTACATATCTACAGGAAACGGACACACAATTAATACAAAATATTGTACAGTGAAAAGCAGTATTTAGTAGTGCAAAAAGAACGTAGTGGCAGATACGTAATTGCACGATTATTTGCTGACAAAATGACGCCCATGCACAAAACTGTATTAGGTTAGATGAAAGCAATACTATGAACCTATTTAAATACTTAATATCATTGCTTTCTGAGGTGGAAATTCCACACTTAATCACCTTCTGGTTAGAAAATAACAAATATACAAGCTGAAACCAAAGTTATGTTATTTAATAAAGAGTTATAGCATTTAAAGGTCCCCTATTATACTGTTCTTCATCAATATATTACAGGTCTCAGATATATACAGAGCCTGTCTCTGATTGGCTGAAACACCAAACAGATCATTGCAGCATTACCCATAATCCCCTCTGTTTCAGCCCTGTTTCCAAAGTGCTGATTCTCTGTCTGTTACTTTAGATGAAAATAAGGAGCCCCTCCCCACGCCCCTCTGAGAGAGATTTGGTTACAAAGAACTAAATGGTGCTCTAGGAGGAGATTCAGGTGATAAGGTGGGGGGGGGGGGTTACCTTGGTTGGTGATTGGCTAATGGTTACACAAGACAAAACATCGTTATGACATCATCAAGTGGCCAAAATCTGATCAGCTCATTTTCAGACAGGTTTTTATAAAAATGGATCAGGACAAAAAGAGAGAGAATCTTTGTTCCTGAAACTTTCAGAGTCTCTTTCCACAGAGGGGACACATGTTGATGAAGAAGAGACATGAAGAAGAGGGGACACATGTTGATGAAGAAGAGACATGAAGAAGAGGGGACACATGTTGATGTAGAAGAGACATGAAGAAGAGGGGACACATGTTGATGTAGAAGAGACATGAAGAAGAGGGGACACATGTTGATGTAGAAGAGACATGAAGAAGAGGGGACACATGTTGATGTAGAAGAGACATGAAGAAGAGGGGACACATGTTGATGTAGAAGAGACATGAAGAAGAGGGGACACATGTTGATGTAGAAGAGACATGAAGAAGAGGGGACACATGTTGATGTAGAAGAGACATGAAGAAGAGGGGACACATGTTGATGTAGAAGAGACATGAAGAAGGGGATTTTGCAGAATAGGTGACCTTTAAGAGAATCAATCTTATTTCCAGCTGGAAGGCCAGAGTCCTGCACTAGTAGATAGTACCAAGATCTGCCCGAGTTACACAGAAAAGCAATGACTTGATACAGAGGAGCAGGAAACAAAAAGGACATAAGACATGCTGATTATAACAGGTAACATCCGTATGATAATGAGAGCAGAAGGTGGCCAGTCTTTTGTATTAAAGGTGTGATGAATGACAGCCGTACTGATGCATTTAATCTGTGAATTAAATTAGATTTAAAATAAATTCTTACGATACTTTCACCTAACCTAACACAGTTATGTGAATCAGTTGACATAATACACTTATTTAAAGTCAGCGTTTCAGTTCCAGTGTTTGTAGGGTTTACTTTTCCAGACTTTACGTGATGTGCATCAGATCTGCAGAAGTGTTTGTATTTTGGGGCGTTTTTGTTGTCCGTCCTCTCCGGGGGTTTGTTCACCACGGATCTGAGAAGCGAGGCCACAGGAAGTAGAACTCCAACAAAGTCTTTTATAGAAGAAATGGAAATTCGAATCTCAGGTTTAAACAACAACATTATAATGGATTTTTTTAGACACAAATTTGGAATATCTGATATTAAAAAAAAGTGTTATATTTGTAAGATAAACTAAACTTCATTTCCCAGAGTCCTTCACTTTGGTATTTAAAAAACCCCTGGTAAAACCACATTGAGTGCATGTTCCTTAACCCTTAAAATATTGTGTAAATTACAATATTTATACTAAAAGTTCTGCACAGGAGTGTCAGAAGCCATGGCCTGCTCACGGAGATTATCTGATCTGTACATTGTGTAATATTTTAGACCATTAAAGCCTTGGATGTGGGGGTGCAGATAGGTTCTAGTCTTGCCTTGAGCTGTGGTGGCCTGTTTTTGTACGGATAAATCCAAAAGAAAACTACTTAATGAAGGTTTTTAGGGTCAGCGTTTAGTGTTGTTGCTACAGGGGAAACCAGGAACTATGGAAGCCCATTTCTGCCAATTAAAAAACACTAATGAAATGTTAGGGATCATTAAAAATGAAAGTACTTGCTCAACATTTCTACATAAAATAACAATTATGATTTGTGCTTGAAGTCATCACACAAATACATTCAGGTCATTATGGTCCAAGCAAAAAAAAAATATTCTTCCATTTTATTATTTATATATATACTGTATTAGATTCATTTATCTTCCTTGCAATGATATATTTCTCAGCTAGCCTCATAAATAGGATAAAAATGAATGTTAAAATACACCCAAAGACCCAATCCTACAAAAAGCAGCAGTCTCATTTTTGAGATTCCACAAAATATGTTCAGTGTAGAAATTTAGAATAAAAATGTGGTACATGTGGTTGATGGTGCTGTTGCACTTCAGTATATTGTCAGTAGAAGCCATTGTCTTACAGTCTAAAATCAAATACCAAATCTCGAACTCCCGTTTGTTTCTTTAAAGAGTAACACAACATCTTCTCAAAGTCTTGTTTTTCCAACATTCAGAGGTTTAAATTGTCACCTTTCTGCACCATGACATCGCTTTTGGGTTAAAGTGAGTCCCAACTGGGAGCAATTTGAGACCAACTATGTCAATGTGCGTCAATACATCATGTCCTATTTCACGGTTCGTCCAGATTTAGCCATAAATTCGAAAGGCGACCATTTTATTTGTGGATTTCTACAGAATCTCAGTCACTACAGGTTTTATCTTAGTATATTTATACCTCAAGGGATTATACAACTTAGTGCAGTTCCCTGAAAACAAATGTTGTCCAATATATTCATTGGTTTGCGATGAGTTCTTGCTCCCTGGATTATTTCAATTTGGTGAAGGACTGTAATTGATGAGAAGTTGAAAGACCATAATGTTAAGGATAATAGGAAAGTTGATAACCAGTTGCATATTAAAAAGGGGCTTCAAAATAGTCTTTGTTCACGGTCCAATAACTCACTTTCTCCAGAGATTTTGACCTGATATCTAGTCTGATCACTTCACATGGAGTTGTCTTAGTTTTCTGGATCTTTGATCATGTGACAACTCGTCAAGTTAGGATCTCTAGGAGCTACTTCCCTAAGACAGGACATTCATGCGTGACATCCGAAGCATCAGTTATAAAGAGCGGTACGTTGGCTGAACAACAAGGACTCTGGACCAAAGACATCAACATCCAACACGCCATTTACTGGGAAGATAGTAGATTCCTTTAGAAACCTTTTGCTGAACACTTCGTACCCTAGAAAGTTGTAGATTCCTTTAGAAAGTTGTCTTTGGAGGCTAGAGCACCTCCTGAGTTACGTCCAACGTTCGGTGCCCATTGAGAAAGTAGTTTATTATCAGCAGTGAGTGGAAAGGTTAAGGTACGTAGATCAGGTTCAATTTCATTAACCACAATTGTCCTCGAACATTAAGAGTTTTATTCGCTAAACCTTTAACCAACCCTTGGTGTGAGACCGTCGTCACGAGTTCCTTTAAACTTCTGTAAACGCAAACACAATGTTCCCCAAACCATGTTGTTATAATCGCCTAACTCTAACTGTAGTTTATTGGACTTTAACACTAACTTTCCCAAACCTTCGCCATATCATAGTTGCTTTTCCACCTTTTGTAGAAAGCAAGAACGTTGGAAGAAGATGTTGAAACGTCCCTGAACGTATGCTGAGGTTTTGACTCAGATATCAACTACTTTTGACTCATTATGACATGGCCCTAGTTCCTTAAAACCTCTCTGATATTTGAGTAAACTCCCTCCGCAGATGAAGACCTTGAGAAACAGCGAGTAAGTGAGTTGAGATAATTTCGTCTATGAACTTCCTGTGTCTTATTTGATGTTTTCTACGTCTGAGGTTTCTGGGAACAAGCTGTTTTCTGTGTTGTTCTGTACATTTCTTCCTTCAGTTTGTGAAGTCTCTGTTCCTGATGTCTTTAGTTAGTCTGTGTAAATGTGTACTGATGAGAAGAAAGCACAAATGTCAGTTTTCAGTGGACGTTGCCGTTTGGTTGTTTCTCTTTCGATGCTGTTACCGTTTGCCTTCACTTGATTTCACTCATAGGGAGGACAGATTTATAAAAGTTGGGGATGTGTGGACTTTTATCAAATCAACACAACTATCCTTATTCAATCCAAGCTGCCAGTGCATGCTTCATCACCCTTTAATATCACTGTGTACAGTAATGTTCCCTGCAGCGGCTGAAGGGGAAATTGATGCTGTAATTTTCTCAAATGGCTTCTTTTCCATCCCAGCCGCTGGAACACCACCAGGGGAAAAGCCACATGAAAGATAAGGTGTTAAAGTACAGGAAATCTGGTATCAAATCATAAAAAAACACCCTGAAGAAACCCATGGATTCTGGGTGTCACTCGTGATGAAATTCATGTTTTAATTGTGTGTCGGAGAATTTGTACAATAATGGTTGTTAAACATGACGTCTTAGGGGATATGCAATGAGTATACGTAGGTAGAGAACATGTAAATAGGAACGTAGATGTTGTGTGAAATACTTGAAATCCCTTTAACTAGTTGTTCTTGGATGTGCTAACCCCCTTAGCCTCGTCATTCTCCTCATGACAGGACCAGGATAGAATGATATGAAATGCATGAGAAACGTGGAGAAGAAGCACCGTGTAGCCAAGGAGCCGAGAGTATTTCTAAGTGCCTGAATACTTCTCTCACCGTTTTATTTTTTTATTCTCCTTCCTCCACCTCTGGTCTCTGTTCTGCACACATACGCCTGTCTTTAGTTTAGTTCAGTGGATTTTAATTTGCAAGTTAGAAGAAGAAGAAGAAGAAGAAAAAAGGATGGACCATGCTGATGTAAACTGAAATATAATGTATCACAAACAGGAGGATAATGTTAGCTCTGACGATCATGGTTGTGTTGAAATGGCATGACATACAGAAAATGAAATAAAGGAGGTATGCATTGGTTCCTGGTGTTTTTATTCCTTCAATGTTGATGTAGGTGTCTCTACTTTAAAGAGTCCTCTCCTGATGTTCAGGTGTATATCAGTATGTAGTGTCTCTACTTTAAAGAGTCCTCTCCTGTTGAGGTTCAGGTGTATATCAGTATGTAGTGTCTCTACTTTAAAGAGTCCTCTCCTGCTGATGTTCAGGTGTATATCAGTATGTA